CTAGTTTCAATATTTAGCAGAAAATAATCTGTGGTGCTCTGAAACATGACTCATTTAAACGGTTTTAAATTGAACTATGCTGATAATGACTAGAGTCTTTAGAATTTATTTGTATTTTAGACAATTTATTTTTTCTAATAACTGGAAATCCATTGCAAATTGTTCTACCATACTAAAGAGTTAAGAACATTTTGATGGGTAGCTTGGCATCGTGTTGATACAACCTGTGCTTGCCTGCAACACCTCAGAACTGTTTGTATGAAAAACCCTCGGATAGAGTCCGTTTGTTCCCCAGTTCCAATGGTATTACCAGGGAAAGCAATTCTACCGTGTGCCGAGCACCGTCAGTTCCTATTAACTTCAGTTTAACTGAAGGGGCACAGCCCTTCTTAGGATATGCCAAGTAGTGTCAGCTCAGATTCTTAAGACGAAGTTCAGTTCTTTGTAGAAGGTCTGCACAAAGCCTGTGTATCATTTAAGTGCCACTTATTTCTTTATAATGTGGCTTGGAGTGGATTTGCAGAATCCGATAGGCTTTTTGCTGTCATGTCTGCAGAGGGCTGAATTTCACCCCTAGTGAATATACACAGTAAAAAGGCAACTATACTGCCTCAGGAAATACATTGTGTTCCTGTGCTTTGACTAGTGCTGCTCAGTTTCAATTCCTGATAGAAAGTCTTGATATTATGCTGATAAAATCATTGCATGCTTTGCTCCCTATATTGTGTATTTAGCTTCACTGTGATACTCTGCTATAATGGGCAAACTGAAGAGTGAAAATGCAAAAATAGATGTAACCTCACGGGCACGAATATGGGCTCCCTTCCGCAACTGCGACTGCATGTGTTTACGAGAGCAATGAGTCTGTGCAGACATCGATTCACACCCAAGCGTGAGGGTTCTGCCTGGCCTGCTTTTGGCAAATGGCCCACCAAGGGGGGCTTGTCAGGACGGGGGTGTAAGAGTGTGCATGTTTGTGAGGCTTCGGAAACAAAGCAAGGGTCTCGTTGAAAAGCTGGGTGAAATGACTACGAAGATCTGTGACAGGGCAGGGACCCTGGGGTGGAGGGGTTAAGGGAGGGGTGCTGCCGGCTGGGGGGGGCCCGGGCCCTGCTGCCTCCCGCGGGGCGTGTGTTGGGGTGTTAGAAGTGTCTGGGCTTAGTTCTGAGAGGCCATTTAGGAATTTCCAAGTGTTTATGGACATTTCATGTCTAGTAATATGGTTTGCTTTTTTGTATTACTGGTATTGATCCCACACTGATGCTAGTTATGTGTCGTTAATAAATTAATAAACCATTTTGATACTGATCTGCTTTAAACCACATGAGGTGAGTAGTTTTTCCCTGCGAGAGAAGTTGTTCCAGTTCTCAAGGCCTAAATGCATGAGCTAGTCTATATACTTAACGCAGAAATGTTTTAGACTTTATGTTCTGTAAAATGCTCTTGGTCTGTTCTAAATTTGTATGGATATAGCCAATACTCAGAGCAAAGACTCCATATATTTGTGGCATTACCAATAGCTGCATTCTGAGATAGCAGCCAAGCAAACACTAAGAGTAATTCACAAAGAAGATAAATATATATATTTTTTTAAAGACTAGTCCAAATTATGTTTCCAGGAAAATCTCCCACCTGAGATAGCAGAGGCAATCTAGTACATATTTTTGAGTTTAACTGACTATTCAGTCTTTCAGTGATCCTTCATGTTGTTGAAACATCGATAGAAATAGCCATTTTGATATGTGAATTGCAAAATATATGCATGCAAATGGGTGAGGTTTGGTGTTAACATTTTACTGAGCTTTTTCTGTAAAGCCTGCAACTGGATGCACACCTTCACTCAGGAAGGACGAGGCTCGCATCTGTTACATAGGAAATGCTAGCCTCAAAAACTGATATGATCCAGTTCTCAGCAGAGCAGTACCTACAGACCCCAAGCACAGTCCAGATTTCTGTATATTATGTGCTATACAAACTTACTGGATTTGCTTCAAAAAACTGTAGTTATGAAAATTGTTTGGGAATCATTCCTCCAGCAATATATATATTGCCTAATGAACAGTGCAAATTCCTATGTAGACGTTTGGGAGCTAAAGTGTTTTTCATAATGAAAATCTTAGTATGAATTTCAGATTGAGCTTCCACTGAAAGAAATCAGTGTTCTTTGTATTGCTAGAGTTTACCAATTGTACCAGGACTGAGGACACAATTTATTTCATGTCAAAATGTTGGAAAGGATTTTATTAAAAGACTTTAAATTACATGTCTATTTCTTGACATGATCCAGTGGCAATGGGAATTGTGTTCTTCAGTAGTTCCAGACAGAAGAAGTCAGGGGTGTAGAGAGGCTGAATCACACATTCAGGTGAACATGAAGAGCTGCAGCTACTGCTGGGTATAAATGCCTGCTTTTAAGCTTCTCAGACCCAAAATTGATTTGGAGCATCATAAGCTTCTTGTATTCTTATCTTGATAAATATGCCTCCTGTAGTTCTCTTTTTGTTGGACTCATGACTATTGAAGATGTATTGCATGTATTGGTGTCACACACCAACATAGAGGAAGACGT